ATGTCAGGCATGGATATTTTGGGGGTCTTGACATGTACCTCTGGCATTGTAACTTTGGGGCCTTTGACATCTACAGCAGGCATGTCCACTCCCAGTTTGGGGCCTTGAATGTCAAGCTGAGGTCCTTTCAAGTTGCCACCCATCTTTGGCATAGAAACATCCACTTCTCCCTTAATCTTAGGTCCCTTCACGTTAACGTCCATACCTGGTGCGGATATACCAGGCCCTTTCAAACAACCCTCTGGACTTTCAAATTCGACATCAGGAACCTTTACGTCCATCTTTAGACCCTTAGAGCCAAGTCCTTTGACATCCCCTTCCACTCCGGGGACGGTGACACCCATATCTCCCTTCACCTGAGGGCCCTTCAGGTTCAAGTTTACATCCGACAGAGAGATTTGGGGCGTTTCAACCTTCTTGAACTTGGGACCTTTCCATTCTCCTTTGATGGCCACATCGGGAATGCCAACGTCTACCTCGGACGCTGCTGGCCCCACCTCCCCCTTTGGGAGCACCATTTCCACAACGGGACCTTCCCCTTGAGAGTCCAAGGCAGTGAATTTTGGAAAGGTTAGGTGTGGTATTTTGACTTTTCCCTTGCCGCCGTGAACATTTGCGTCAGGGAGCTCCACGCTGGGTCCTTTGATACCCACGCCAGGGACTTCCAGGTCTGGGGAGGGGGCCTTCACGGCACCCTTCAACCCCATGTCCGCCTGTGGCTTCGGGACTTTGACTGAAGGAGGTGAAACTTCAGGTCCCGTGACCTGGACGGATGAGGAGGCAACGTCCACGCACGGAGCTTGCAGCTTCGGCATGGGAACGTCGGTGCCCACCTGCGGGGCTTGAGCTTCCATGCCAGCTCCTGCGGTCGGAAACCCAAATTTGGGCATTTTCAAAACGGGAAACTTGATTTTTCCCACATCGACAGCTGGATTTTCCATCACCGGTAACGAAACGTCCACTCCGGGGGCTTTGATATCTCCCTGAAGACAAGGGGCAGAAGCATCAGCGTGTGACAGCGTACCCCCCAGCAGCTCCCCTTGGACGTCGGTGCCAGAAATGTGTCCTTTGCCATCCAACCTGGGACCCTTGACGTGAAAACCCGCGTCCAGGTTTCCCATCTGTCCATTTGCTTCGATTCTGGGCAAGTTGCCTTGAGGGCCCAGGAACGTCGTGCTAGAAACGTTATGTCCCGGCATCTCTACCGTAACAGATTTTCCAGTCTCCCCACCAGGAACTCGGCTTTCCGACAACATAGGGTCCATCTCAGTCCTCATTTGCGTTCCCGACACGGTTATCCCGGGTTTTCCGAACTGAACCTCGCTGAGGTGGACGTCCAACTTCTGGCCAGAAGATCCAACCGTTGGTCCTGGAGGTGCCCCTTTGATGTCCATGCTCCAGTCCATGGTGCTTCTCCCCGGTGCCGTTTTAATCACGGTTTTCCCAGGCTCGGTTTCGACGTCAGTCTTCATCACGTGGGTGATTTCCTTGGTCGGGATCCGGATTTTAAACTCTGGGCCGATGACGTCGACGTCTTTTGTTCCGTCGTGCCTAGTGACATCAACGGTGTAGGCCGTCACTTTTCTGGTGACCGTAATGGTCCTGCTCTGCGTTCCACCGCACTCCGCTTCCACCGCCTCCTCCGACTTCAGCCGGGGTTTGATTTTCGTTGTGTAGATCCTCCTGTACTCCTCGTCATCGCCACTCTGGTAACGGAGAGACCTTTGTTAGCACCAGGAACCTTCCTCCCTCCTCCTCCTCCTCGTCCCTTCTTTCCCCATCGCTCACCAGAACAACTTCTGGGCTGCTGGCCGCAAAGACGTCGTGTGACCATGACTGTCCCGGCAGCGGAGATTTGTCTCCTTTCCGTTGCAAGCGCAAGCCCACCGTGTGGTGGCCCATGCTGTTGAGAAGCTGCGTGACTTCCCCGGATTGCAGGTTGTCGAAGTAGACCGTGGCGCTCACAATCTGATCCCCTGGGAGGCGGGGGACGGGGGACAACAGGGAGCGAGCAGAGGGGCGAGAAGTGAGATATTTCGGAAGGGAGAAGCAGGGAGGAGACACCCCTCCCATCCCCACCGCGAGCAAGACGAGGAGCAACGACACTTGAGCCGTAGGGTTATTGCCCAAGAAGAAGACGAAAGAAGCAACCGAGGCACCACCAAGATGGAAGAGACAGACACAAAGAACCCATTTCTTCCCCCCCCCAAAAAAAAATGACCTTCTCCCCAGCAACA